GGAAGGAAAGGGGAGGAAAAGGGAGGGTGAGAATGGTCACTTTTATTTCTTTCTGAGGTGGAGGCTGACAGAGCGGAGCCACTAACGTAGGTATGAGGGTACGTACCAGACTACCTGTACGCCGGCTTAGAAAACCACCACACGTATGTGCGGGCACTTGAAGCGGTTCCTCTATACACAGGCGGAATCACAATGGCACCTGCTTGCTTACGCAGGCATAGGCCAATCGAGTTTGGGCCTTGGGACCCAAGTGCTAAATCTCTGGGGAATTTGTCCCTAGCTTCCTAAGCCTACAATTGCTGACAAAGTATAGGGAGCACTCTTCGCTATCGAACCTGTTTTACGATAATCTACCACTGGATTGTGAAATGATGATACGGTGGGTCAGCCCTGAGCGGTTCCAACTCTTTTTGCAACAACCAAAATGATGGTGCACTACCAAGGCTAGGTGATCTCATATCTGTGACCGAGAGATTTAGATGTGCCAGCAATAAAAAGAAGGAGTAGAATCAAACTTTTGCCGAGGCTCCTGGGGCGCTACTGATTGCCCGGTGTGGGGGGGGGGACAAGGCTTGTTTGCCATTAGTTGATAAGGCGTGAGCTAGGCCTTGTTGTGGTTACCGTGCGACTAAGGCAGGCTTGGCGAGGCAATTTGTTTGGTTGCTTCCCGTCACTCGATCTTGAGATGGTATCCGGGTGAAGCGTACTGAACCATGGAGTACTTGGATGTTGGTACTTAACCTGAGGAAGTACAACTGAGGTTAATGGTTGTGATATCTGGGTGGGCAGGCTCCCGGGGAGTGGGGGACATCTGTTCTCGCACACGAGCATGTTTTCTGTAGCTGGTTCATTGGGGTGTTCATGATTTCTCTGGATATCTTTGTTTGGTCGTTGTTGCGGGGGAAGTGCTGATGGAAAGCCATTCAAAATTCCGCACTACTTCCTAACCCAACAATATCAATTAACGTAAATCCCGTGGATCCGGAACATCACCCGGAAGCGGAATGGCGCAATCTCGCTAAAATTAAACAACGTCAGAATGTAGTTACCCCGCTCGAAAACCCAACAACCGCCACCAAAACACAACAATGCCGAAGGTCAAGAAGCATGATACTACGGGTTGTGAGACAAATATTACTGCTGCGATTCGGTCTCAAAAGGAAGGTCAGCAGGCGAGTATTGGGGCTGCTGCAGAGGCTTTTGATATTCCAAAATCGACTCTCTATTACGGCTACACTGGAGAGAGAACCAGTCGCCATATCGCACAGGGAGATAACCAGTTAATTACCAACTTGGAGGAGAAAGCCATTGTGGCATGGTGTAAGGAGCCGGATAACTGGGGTTTTCCACCACAGTTAGATATTGTCAAAAGCATGGCACTATTTCTCTATAAAAAGAGAATGGGAGATAAGCAAAAGAGTTTAGGGAAAAATTGGATTACAAGATTTCTGGACCGTTATCCTGATATGGCTACTAAGTTTAGTACAAAATTGGACCGTCACAGGGCAAATGCCAGTTGTCTACAGCTATTAAATGACTATTTTTCCAAACTCTCCTGAATTATTCAAGCACACAATCTGAAGCCCTTTCGGATTTTTAATATGGATGAGAAAGGGTTCCTGATGGGGATTGCAGCATGAGCGAAGGTTATCTGTCACCAAAAGTGAAGAAACCCCTGAGTCACTCATGAAGGCAATCTAGAAATGGTGACTGTAGTTGAAACGATTTGTGCCGCTGGTTACGCACTTCCGCCCATGGTGATTAGTAACGGCAGTGCTCAATACAAGGGCTGGTACACAGATTTAACAACTATGATAGCTGATTACTGGTTTTCATTCTCTCAAAATGGCTGGACAGATGATGCAGTTGCTTTAAAATGCGTTACTGAATTATTTAAGCCATGTACAGCCTCCATAGCCCCTCTCCCACCACTACTCATAGTAGATGGACCCAGCATCCATATCACCTGGGAGTTTGTCAACTTCTGTAAGCAAAAAAATATTATCCTATTCTGTCTTCCATCGCACTCAACACACCTTCTCCAACCATTAGATGTGGAAACCTTTATCCCATTGCAGAACTCGGATGGCTGTGGGATCGACAACTATAGCCGGGATAGTGAGGAGGGAATCAAGAAGTCAGTTTTTATTCCTCTACTACATGATGCTCGCATTCTAGCAATTACCAAGCGAAATATTGAGCAGTCCTTCGCTACTACTGGTATTGTACCATTTAATCCACGGCATGTATACACCAAGCTGAAGCCCGGAGATGACAACCAAAACACTTTTTCAACAAACTCCACCCTCCCTTCTGTAACCTTCCGCACACCAAAAGGCTTACGAGATATACACAGTCAGCTACATGCTGCAAACCAACTTATTGATAATGGGGCTTCAGTTAAAAAGATTAAGGGAATCCTTAAATCTTTTAGCCATGCAGCTCTATTTTCTATGGCTGAGAAAGAGATCAGGGAAAAGGTGTGTGATGGCTTACAGCAGAAAAAGACCTACAATACTCGGACAGACAAGAAGCAGCTCTCAAAGGCCCATATTCTGAGAGACAAGGAGCTTATTGGTTTGCGAAAAACCTGCGAAGAGCTCGACAGCCGTCCCAAAAGGCCACGGCCACAGAAGAAAAAAACTACCACCCCCATCACCCTATCGGGCACCCCTCACTCAGAACCTTCACTCCCCCGAGAGTCTCAACATATTCAGCTTGCTTTATCTCCAGAAACTATACCAACCTCTCCAATTCTGGCCACAGCAGAGACCATTGAGATGGTTTCTGATGCGTTGTGGAATACTTATCAAAATACCCACACATCTCGCCGCTGCTGCTTCTCTGATACTCCCTTCCGACCTCTCATTACCCGCACCCATATGCCAGACCGCCCACTCCATATGAAGCTGCGTTAAAAGCACTAGCCATTGACTTTTTTTTTTTCCAGGTTTGTTTCCCTTTTCTCCTCACCTCACTACTTTTAACTATACCTAATTTGTTTAAAAATCTAGTTTTCCTTCCACCTTCCTCCTCCTCCTACTGCCTCCTCTCCTATACTTTCTCTTTTTCAGAGTGTTTTTGGCATATTTTTATGATTTCTTCTTGCAAAGTTACAATTGAATTTCTCTTCTACTTTCGTAGTTAGAACTCTGTTCCGGTGCACCGTGTTGTCCCGGAAACCGGTGATTTACGTTACGTATTAGTTGTCCTAACTTGTCCTAGAAGCCAGCGGGGGTATACCTAGTGGGCGGCACAATGGATTGTTGCCTTGCAAGAGTGTATACCTGGCTAGATGAAAACGGTGAACCCAAATATCTAGTCCATCCGTCTTCTGGTGGGGCGGGACGGAGGGCACTGCTTGGGAGGATGCACCTCGGCACCCGTCCAGACAGCTGTCCTGGACAAGTTGATTGGCTCTGTAGATTTGTAGATATTTGGGATGTGCCAAGTCACTACAGGTGACGGTTGGGCCCGACAGGTAATGAATTTGATGTGCTCTCCGGGTTAGCTGGTGGATAGCACCTAGGAGTTGGTTTCATACTGTGGTAGTGGAAGCCTGAGTGTATGGAAGCATGGAGGTTCCTGGTCTTGTGAACTCAGTAACCCATTGTAGAGGACTTGTTGTGGAGAACAAGGCTTCCACATAAACGTTGGTGAGGTTTTTTGACCTCGATCCCTGGGGATAGTTTGGAAGTGTCATGCCAATGGAGAAGGGACGCTTGAATCATAGTTGGGCAGCTATTTGTTCCTTCTACTTATTGTTCTTTTCTCCCTCACACTTATTATATAGGTGGGTTGGTGGAGGTACCTGAGCTTTGTATTGCTGTCAAATATATTGAGTTTTCTCCTCTCCACACATTCTTTCTCGGACCTTAACTACTTATGCCACCCAATTGGAGTCCGGTTCTCCCCCCGTTTGGTGCGTCACCACCAAGAATAGAGCGACTTCAGCCCAGCCAAACGAGTACCCTGTCTTCATTCGGGAATTGCGAGTGGTAATTGATGATACCAAACTAAAGTTTAGCTGAAGGCCAAAACATTCTACTGTAGTGTATGGACCAAACAGTGATGAAAGCGGATGCGTGCGGGATATTCTGTAATGTTTGGGTCATCTGGAACAGAACTTTCCTACTACAGAATTAGCAACAAACCAGCTGGATAGATCTCGCATATCACGACAAAAATTCCATGCGGTGGTGTGGCCGTCTAGGTGACCCAAAACCAAAGTAGACTGAAAATAATGGAGTATGATAGAGCAAATGCTGAAAGCGATAGAGCCAAACAAAAGCAAAGCATCCTCTTTCAACCCATCGAGGACACTTCATGCACGCACCGAAAAAAAATAGCCCCTTTGTTTACCGGGAAGGTTTCGCCGCGAGGACTCGACACCTGCAGCTAGGCCTTAGCCTGCTTCTCGATACCGCGCCGGTGCGACTCCATCAGCTTCTTCGCTTTCGGGATTATTCCGGTGGTGACCCCTTCATCCTTCGTCGTCGGGCTGTCTTGTAGCCACAATCGCGGTAATTTGCCAAGTCATTCCCACTTGCAAGCACCATTCTTCCTCTTATACTCTTTGGTCCCCATGGAGACCTTGTCTTTGGCCGGTGCGATTTTTCCTACGGGTGATCTTGGGGATGAGAACGTGCTTTCTAGCCTGCGGTTCGGGCCCTGCGTTTACACTTATTGAAGTGCCGATGATTTATCGTGAGCGTAATTGAGCACTGCGACAGATACACTGTGAGGTTAAAACTTTAGAAAGGGAGGTCAATTTCATCACGGTACCCACTGCGATAGAGAGCGCCATGTAAGGGAGATACTTTCTACCAATGCCCAACAATGCTCGTTATTACATTGTGGAGTATCAATTTTGTGTTACCGGAAATCCATTTAATTTTTTCACATCAGATTAAATGCCTGAATACAGAAACAGGTGAGAATAACAAAGAAGGTGTGTAGAAATAGTGTATGAAGTGAGAAAATTCCAGCCATCCCAGTTACTACAAAAAAGAAAAAGTTTTCGGGCCCGGAAGCTTCTTGAACATAATTTTCTGTGTCCTATTGGGAGATGCAATTTCCCCTATCCGAATGTTAGGGGGACGAGATTGGCCCTCAGGATACTTAATATCGTATTGTAAGAGGATAAAAGTCAGAATAGTCTTTATCTCCTCGACAGCAAAATAGCGACCAGGGCATGCGTGCTTTCCATGACCAAAGGCGAGGTTGTTGGAGGAGGTAGTGGCACTTCCGTTGCTCATCTGGACACCGTCCTTAGCTTCGAGGGTCTTTTTGTACCAGCGAAACCCATCGAATGTCTCGGGGTCCTCAACAAAATCCGGATCGGAAGAAAACATTAAGGCGGGTGCGGCAACCAGAGTTCCTTTCGGCAAGTAGGTTCCATCGGAAAGAGTCACGTTTTTCATTACCATGCGATTGAAAGAAACTTCATAAAGAATTAGACACGCAAACTAAGAGAAAAAAGGCTGCCATGTGCTTACGGAGCAAAGTCCCCATTCTCATAGATTCTCTGAGAAAGCTATCAGTCTTTCTCATCTTGCGTAGAACACCCCTATCCAACGCTCCACTATTTTCAGAAATTGCGGCTTCCATCTCTTCGCGCATTGGCTGAATGCAATCCCGGTACTCAGCGAGGTCGAAAATCATACCGACAAGGGTACCAGCTGTTGCGAAAACTGATGCCAGGCCAATCAGCAGCTGCAATTCAGACAAGGCATCGACAGTCTTATGATGTGGCTCAACGCGATCTATGAGCCATTGGAGAAGGTCGTTGGGACCCTGATAAACCGTCCCATTCTCTTCCGCGAGCCGCTGCTCTTTAAAGCGTTTTTGGATGGTAGGGGCTAGCAGGGTCTGCGCCTTCCTCTTATGCGATTTGATGGTTTTTGCTGAATTCCACATATAGGCGTAGAATGGGCGAAACAGTTTTGAAATTGTGCCGAGGTTCGAGGCCGTCGCGATAAGATCTTCAGTGAACGTGATTGCGAGCTTCAACCAGTCCTCATTTCTACAGACTGGAAGGCCAATGAATGATCTGGCACTAACACGAGCGACGATTCTTAGGATGGTGGGGAAAAGGTCTACCGATAGCCATTCTATATTGCAGTGAGATTTATCAGCATCTACCGCATGAAAAACGACAATGGGTCCGGAAAAAAACCAACCATTGGTAGCAGATCCCGGAAGCTCGGAATCCAAGGCGAGGTGTGTCTCTTCCAGCTGGGCGCCTAACATGTTGCCTGTTTGTTAAATTTATTAGCATATCTGAATCTAAATATTGGTTGAGCTGGGCGGGGTCAGGAAAGTATCGGAGCGGGGTGGTCATTTTTTCTTATCTTAGCCTCCATAACCGAGGGCAAGATATGCAAGAATTTTTGGTCTTTGTGTAAAACTACCCAAACCCAAACAACTCCTTCTCATCGCAAAAATGTTCCTATCTAGGTGGCAGGGAGTCGGTTACCTAGATTTTGAGTGAGTTTGATTCTCGTTGCATCCTGGAGATACTGGGTTTCCACGAATCTAGCCATGCCCGTATATTTGTCCATCAACAACTTTATCATTGAGTATGGTCAGCACTAGTAATCTCAAGGGCAATATTTAGAGTGATGGGGTGTCTACTTTCGCATTAGCATGAGAAAAGCTAACCACATCGTCTGGTGCATTACAGAGCTCCCTGACTTGGGCGTGTGTAAGGATAACCTTGTCGTAGGAGTTGGTTGTAATAACAAAGTTGTTTCCATAGTGCTAGTAAGATCGCATATCGTCAATACCTTGCTTCGTTATACTACTTGACCTATCTCAAGATACATGTTGTCTATTAATTGGACGATATGAAGACTAACCTTATAGTAAGCATCCCTCACCATTTGGAATCCGTTAAAGACAAAGTTTTGCCTGGCTTTGATCCGCGCAAAGTAGCCCGGGGATTCAACTCCAATAATTGGAAGATTTGTGGGGCCATGAACTGACCACTCCTTGATCAAGAGAAGGAATAGTCCTAGGGAAAGCAACGAGAGAATCATACCGAAAACGGAGTATCCATAAAGATTCTTGTCGTCAGCGTAATCCTTGAGTTGTAGAAAGATACCCATTATTCAGGAGAGGTGAGTTGTTTGTCTGTTGGGAAATTAGGAGAGGTATGATAGGAAGTTTGGGATCGGGGTGTGGGGGGGAAAAGTAGACGTGACTTCTTCTTCTTTTAAAGTTAGAGCTTTGAATAGTATAGGGGGGTGAGGTAGTGGAAGTGAGGGCTTTGGTGGATGTGGTACTTTTCTATTGTTTCTGAGCCCTAACAGCCCTACGGGGAGACCGCTGACAATATGGAACTGGACCAGACAACGATACAGAACCCATTTAGTCCTGCAAGTAGTGTTGTTCACGAGCCGGCTCGAGGAACCCCTAGGCTCGAGGGCTCGAGCCGCCAAGACATTTGCTAGGATCTCCACGACACTTCTGCACACTGATATTGTAATTCAAAAAAACCATAAATTGTATATAGCGGCTTGAAAATATATACAACTATCCAAAGGGCCTTCCCACTATCCCCAAGTCCAATTCTTGGGCAAGCACACCATATCCTTCTGTGTCTGCCTCGTAATTCCCATCTTCCCCACGGGTTTCCTCTACCTCTTCCCAAGTTTCCACCTCCGGTAGCCCAAGCCAGGCCTTGGTTAGCATGAGCAATCTGATAGTGCTACCTACCGGCTCGTGAACAACACTACCTGCAAGTATTGAGACCTGCAGGTTTTGGCAAGGGCCAGAGCCCAACCAGGTAACACACTATATAGAAGCCATTATAGTTTTGGTGGGGGAGCAAGTAGCAGCTTGCACATATGAAGATGAAGCTCCTGGAATTCTCTAACCCTTCTTCTCATCTTGATTTCCATTGTTTCTTTGCTAGCTACAAACAGGGAACCCAGGTCCTACCCATTAGTCACGGGTATGTTGTGCTGCACTCAAATTCTAAGACTTGAATGAAACTGGAGCAGAACCTCTCATCTTTGGTAGCCCTTCTGCCAAACTCCGTGGCAAAATCGTCGCCAGGACAGGACGGAATGAAATTTGTGCATTACCCCGCCCTGCCCCGAATCTCAGAAAGAAAAGCATTGCCCGCTGCGAACTCTGAATAAATACCGAAGAAGTGCTGTGGGAACCTGAGAGCAGATACTATTTGCGAGGGGGAAGGTAAAGTCATAGTATGCAAAAAGTCTTTGTGGAGAGATAGTAAATAGAGGGAGGAGTAAAAGAAATACAGGCACCTATTTCCAAGACCAAGCCAGCTACTATTGAAACCCACAGGTGTCAGAACATTTCAATGCCAGAGCGGACCAGAGCACAGATTATTCAAGCTATGGTGTCTGAATACTTATAAAAATTCACGAGTATATAGAATTTCATTATAGAATGTATCATCGGTACAAGTACGGTGGGGGAGCACAACTACCGTAAAAACTCAAGCAATCGAGCCGTTTTCAAGTGGTTTATTTATAGCTATGATAAATGAACGTGCACCACCGATCTGAAAAGAGGTAAGCCAATTCCCACTCCGCTTCTCCCGCTATGTTGGGGAGAAGGGTAAATGTGTCGAGTTTTGGTACAAATGTCTGACTAAGTACTGTGATAACTACCGAGCTGGAAAAAAAAAAAAAAAAAAAACTACTTACTTGCTAGACTCTAGTTGCTATCATTATCTCTCTCACTTGCTTTTTCGCGTGCCAAACAGGACAAAATAGTATCTACTCGCCATCTCCTCAGTATTTTCCAACCTATTTACCACATACACTGAGAAACCTCTTAACGTGAATAAGAATCTACTTCTACTCAAGCACCTCACGGATCCCTGGTTGTTACAGCAACGTCTAGGTGTCGCCAGACTTAACGCTCCCTCCGAGCAGATCTGGAGTACTCTACAGTACCTGTGCATCTAGAGAGCACACCCTCATTGTAGCCGAGGATTCCCTACATTGGAAACCCACCTGAAAGCGCAGGAAATAAAGAGCTGCCCAGTCCCTCTGGGACAAAGATTCCAACGGTTTCCGAGAAGGGAACCACCCAACTGCATAAAGCTCAGTGGAGATATCGGTGCAACTACCAGAATAACTGGCCCCCTCCCGATTGTTGGAAATCATGGAAGCTGCTGAGCATGCTCATGACTTTGTTCTCTCGCCCGCCTGTATATCTACCTGTCCGTCGGCATCTCTATCCGTCCATCTATTTCCCGTCTGCACATTGGCTGTACGTTCTCGGAGCCGGCCGTTTGTTCGTTCCTGCCTGTTCGCTCCTCTTCCGCCACTTGTTTGTTGGCGCATTTACTTTCTTATGGCAGAGGCTCTCGTCGTGCGCTTTGGAAAAGCACTTCCAACGGAGAAGGATATGAACGGCAAGGGGGTTATAGACCCTCGAGAGTCTTTGTTCCTGTATTTCTTTTCTCAGCACGGGAGCGCGGAAGTCGATGGGAAAACGGAAGGTAATTGGAGAGGCTTTGAGGAGTCTATTGTTTGTTCTCGCTTTTGTTAGGATGACCGATAGCGTGAGAGCGTACAGAGGAAATAGAGATGAGTACGGGAGGTGTTAGAGATACGGGTATACGGTGATCACAGGAAGGATAAATGATCTTTGTCGTTTATTTATATACCTGTCTTTTCCTGTTAGTTTAGTTAGTAGTGGAGTCGTGCGGCAAGAGAGAGAGAGTTGTTGAACTGAGCGAGTTGCAGAGCGACCCTGGTGAACTCCCCCGCTTTTGGTTGCGCAGAGCTTTTCACAGCGCATTTAGTCATCGCCTTTCGTTTCACCGTCGTTCAGTATCTCTCAGGATCCTGTTAGCCATTTGCTTCCTAAAAGGATGGAGTTGATGGATTGGTGAGCACAGATATGGTGAGTTAACAGGAGCATAGTGCCATGAAAACTCTTGGAATCCAGTACCGCGGCCGCGTATTATCGGGACTGTTTCTGGGAGGAGGTGTGCTAGTAAGGAATCGGGGGGACGAGGTAGAAGAGCAAAGACGTCTCCTGAACAAGATTTATTGTATGATACCAAGTCCTCCACTTGTTCCGAAAACAGGACGAGGCGTGGAGGTTGAGATTCAAGGAAAAGAGCAACATAGAGTAGTAATATGTCACCAAGGTAAAGGCAGATTTAACTGGTAATTACTTGTCAACATTTAACTCTGACGTGGTCGAGAGTACAAGGGCAAATTTCCTGTCAGGTCTACGGGAACAAGATAGGCAAACCATTTCCAAAGCACCGAGGACCCTGTTCTAGTAGGGTTCCACAATTTCTGGGATGTGTAGGGTGCGCAGTTGCATTGAACTACGCAGGAGCAATGACATAAGCGAAGAAAATCGGGAAGGGTTGAATTGATAATTTCTATTTACCCGAGTATCATACCACCGTTCCCGTAGCGCGAAGAAAGGTGCTGGCTGCCAGAAATTATGGATCCGCACCGATTGCTCCCAGGATATGAGAGGGATAACACAAAACCTCACATCACATCTTATTACCCTCTCAGATTACTGTAGTAATGACACAAATACCGGGGTTCAATTATGGAAAGATAGTGAAGAAATGGGAGGGGCTTAAAAAGGGAATGCGAAGAAATTGAGCTGTAAGATTGGCTGATAACTACTGTTCATCCCATCGGCTTGGTATTGGTGCTCAGGCTTGCATTTGTCTTACTGCCTGTTCTTCACCAGAAAGTGAAGGACAGCCAAAATCGGTCATCGCTGCTAGCTTGAATCGTAGTTCCTAATAGAGGACGAGTGACCTTTTGAGCTGGTGTAATACCATCTCCTCTCCGGAATTGTTCAACCTGTAAATCAAAACTAGTCCATAATTTTCGTTTTAATCTAAGGTCTGGCAGAGTGTTGTCATCGCTAGGGTCAGAATTAAAGATGCACAACTTCATTGAATTTCCAATCGCAATGTGATACCAGCTGATCCTGAGTTCTCAAAATCTACTGTTGATAATCCACTATGCCCGATTTTTTTAAGAACTGTAGGCCGAGTGTAGGGCTTAGCTTGCTGGTACTACTGGAATGAATAGGAAATTGAACAGCTTTGTGAATAGCAGAAAGCGACTTCTCGTGGGCCCTGTTTGGCACGTCACTTTAATAGCTTAAAAGTGAGTTTTAAAGTATAAGTTTTGGCAAAGTATCATAATGTTTTTGTTTTTTTTGTAGGGGGGGGTTCAGCACAAAACATTATACAATAATATAATGTTATTGTGTTAATTAATTTTTGTTCTACATATTATTTATTATAAG